CGGAGCCCCAGGTGGGGTCAGGCTCTGCCCGCCTCGCCAGCCCGTCGCTCGCCCGCTGGGCACCCAAGGGGGGTCTTTGCGGACGGGTCGGCTCAGGGTGTTAGAAACCTCTAGAGCTCCGTTCCATTCCGACTGTTCATTTCAGGTAGGAGCGGTTTAAATGAGAGAAGCACACACCACTTTGCATCTTTAAAGGCGTCTGCAAATCTCCAGGCTTCCCTTGGAAATCCTTTGAATAATGCAAATAAGCCGCTTGGCACTTGAATGCCGAGGCACCCTATGGTTCAATACGGAGTAATTGATGACTGGTTGCAATTCCCCAAAATGAATGGCTTTGAATTTCTTGTGAGTTCTGGTTGCTCTTGACAAAGGCTTTCCTTGGAACTCAGCTATCAGCTTATAAAAAGAAGACAAGTTTTTCATTTCTCTAGGAAACAATCAATGAGGAGAACCAATAATTTTTATAAGAAATCTACTAGATTGGCTAATAATAGATATTTTGTTTTTTGGTTATGTCTTTATTATATGCTGATGGAAATTATATTTGAAGCAGTTATAGACTCTTAACCAAATTTAATTAATTACCCTATGGAGTTTTTAAATACCGTCATGGATTTTCCCCCTAAGTCTAAAAAAAAAAATCCATTAAAATTAACTCCTAACCATTAAGTACTTTAATTTCACATTGAAAAAGTTCAAAGAATTTCTCAAACGTTTCTTTTCATGAAGAAGCAAACATGATTTACATACTTTGCAAAATATTGCACACATTAGTAGTAAAGTTGTAGTTAGAAATATATTCAAGTATTACATAATTTCCCCCTGTTCTTTGACATTTCTATATGCAGGTATCTGTGCTTAATCACAACATTTGATGTTATGCTAGAAGAGTTCATCTATGTCATCAAACACACAAAAATCAGAACAATTTTAATCATTAAGTACACTTGCTAAAATACTGCTGCTGAAGGTGTTACTGAGATTCTTAAACACAATACACTCTATTATAGTTATTCTATTAAATTGTTTCTCTTCAGTCAATCCTATGACAGTGTTTGAAGAAGGGAATGGGATTTGATATATATATTATTGATTTTAGAGAGAGAGGAAGGGAGATGTGGGGGGGGGGGCGCGGAGAAATGCACCCTAACCAGGGATGAACCCAAAACCTGGGCATGTACCCTGACTGGGAATCGAACTGGCAACCTTTCGGTGCAAGGGACCAACTGAGCAACACCAGCCAGGATGGGAATTGGATTTTGACACAGAAAACCTGGGTTAGAATGCGAGCTCTGCCACTTTCTTCCTGAAACTCCTTGGGCAAGTCACTTACCTTTTCAATTTTTCCACAATAAATAGGAATAGTAATACTTAACCTTGCAGGATTAAGTGAGTATTAAAAGAAAGCACAAAGCGCTATGTGAATGCAAAGTAGTGTTACAATTCCCTATCTCTCCAGGCTGAGCAGGGTTTTAGTCATAGAGAAGTCAGGTGATATTCCCAAGAACTGAATTATAAGCATTTCAAAACATTCATTACTCTAGTTATTATTTTGCGATAGTTGAATTTAATGATGAAAACTTAATCCTGCAGTCCCTAGTATATTTTTGCAAAATCATTCAATAAATCTAATTTAATATTTTTAAGAGGCCTTTATGCTTGAAACAGAGTAGTAGGTGCATGAGGAATATAAAAAGAAGTGTGGGCCTGTTGAGAGAGGATGTTTATAAAAAGCACTATTTGAGTTCTATAATAAAGATAAAAGCAAAGTATAATTAAAAATGTATTGCGGGCTGGAAGAGGTTAATGGGGGGGGACCTATGTGATACTTCCAACAATAGAGGTTTAAAAAAATTATTTACAAAAACAGGAGACCAGCCTGCATGCAGTAGTGTTACAATTAAATATTCCATTAAAATATGTATCATGATTATTGAGCTTTTGACCCCCTTTTAAATTTTGTGCCTAAAACAAATGCCTTATTCATTGTACCTTAGTCCTGTTTCTATAAATGCACACAGAGCAGAGGTTAATTCCTACATGGGCATCCCTGGGAGCTGCATAGAAGAGCTGGATCTTAAAAGATGAAGATAATTGGGGGCAGCTTCTGAAGAGAAAATGATTAATCCTTACCCCTCCATCTGACTGCTCTATAGATTGATCTTTTCTCCCTCTTTTGCTATTAATATTGTACTTAGCTAAATCGACAAAAAAATAAAAAATAGTTATTAACATTCTATTGCTCTACATTCTGTTTCTGTATTTTCTTCTTTCTCCCTCTACTTTTTAAAGTCCAATTATACATGCTGTAAAATAATTTAGTAATGCTTTAGTTTTTGTCTTCTTACAGTTCCTGTTACAAATGTAACCCTTTGTAATTGCATAAAATGTGTTAATACAACTTCACATAACCACTTAGCTTTTTTCTTACAAATTGAAATGTGTGCGTGTATATTGTGTGTGTGTGTGTGTGTGTGTGTGTGTGTATAACAGGAAGAGAGAGAGGGAGGGAGGGAGGGAGAGAGAGAGAGAGAGGTCATTATGTATATCTGGGAATTTAACCCTAAAATCCCAAAATAGTTTCAATTAATGTTTAACATGCGCATCATTTAGGAATTGTGTTCACCTACTAATAACAGAGACTGGAAATTAAATAATAGTGTCTGAAACAAGATAGAAGTTATTACTCTCTTGAGAAAAGTAAGTGCAGAGGGAAGCATCTCAGAGCAGATATGGTAGCTCCACCATCATCATGGACTAAGGTTCTTTCTGTCTTAACCTTACACCACCCTAGTATGAGGCCTCCCTTCTGAAGGTCGCCCTCTGGTCCAAGGTGACTGCTATAGATCTAGGCATCTTGTGGGCATTGGAGTCCAGGAAAGAAGGATCGCATCCAGAATTCTCAAATACATACTTCCACTCCAGTCAGAACGTAGTCACATGACACGCCCAGCTATAGGGAAGGTTGGCAAATAACTTTTCATTTGGGCTCACTAATCAGACTTCTACTTCCAAAGAAGAGACTCTAGTGGCAACTAGAATGTAATCATCCTTTTATCTTTGCCTTTGAGGTACATATATACAATGGAATATCATTTAACTATAAAAAAGAATGAAATCTTGCCATTTCCAACAACGTGGATGGACCTAGGGTATTATGCTAAATGATATGTCAGACAAAGACAGACAAATACCATATGATGTCACTAAAAAACAAAATAAGCAAACAGGAACAAATTGATGGTTGACATATAGAAGGGGGATTAGGAGATAGGTGAAAAAGGTGAAATCATTAAGAAGTACAAATTGCCAGTTATAAAAATAGTCACAGGGATGTAAAGTAGTGCATAGAGAATATAGTCATTAATACTATAATAACTACTAGAGGCCCAGTGCAGCAATTTGTGCACGGGTGGAGTCCGGCTGGCCAGGCCCCAATTGGGGCGGATCGGGGCCAGGCCTATCCTGAGGAGGAGATGGCAGAAGGTTGGCCAGCCGGCCCGCCCTGATCGGGGCCCAATCAGGGTGAGGCCAGCTAGGGGAAGGGGCTGAGGCCAATTGGCCAGTGGGCCCCACCCCCAATTGGGGTGAGGGGTCGATTGAGGGCAGGGCGGGCCATGGGGAGGGCCTGATTGGTGTAGGGGGGCCAATCAGGGGCGGAGCTGGATGGGGGAGGGGCTGCAGGCGGATGGGGTGGTGGGGGCTGATTGGGAGTGGGGCTGGTGATGGGGAGAGGCTGTGGACAGTGGGCCAGCTGGCCCCACCCCTGAATGGGGTGTGGGGCCAATTGGGGACCAGTGGCCTAGGGGAGGGGCCGTGGGTGGTTGGTTGGCTAGCCCTGCCCCTGATTCAAATAGGGGGCCGATTGGGGGTGGAGCTAACTGTGGGAAGGGGCTGTGGGCCAATATGGGTAGTGGGGGCCCATTAGAGGTGGGCCGGCTGGGGGGAGGGGCTGCAGGAGGTTGGCCAACAGTCCCGCCCCCCTATTGGGATAGGGACAATCAAGGGTGGGGCCAGCCAGAGGGAGGGGCTGTGGGGGTGTTGGCAGGCCAGCCTTAACCCCTGATAGGGCCATAGCGACTGGTCGTTCTGGTCATTACAGTGTTCTTGTTGCTGGCTTTTATATATATATATATATATGGTGTCAAATAGGTCTTAGACTTATCAGAGTGACCACTTCCTAAGCTATATAACTATCTAATCACTGTGTTGTACACTGGAAATTAATAATGTATGCAATGCTCACTTTGGCAGCACGTATACTAAAACTGAAATAATAAAGAGAAGATTAGCATGGCCCCTGAGCAAGGATGACACGCAAATTCGTGAAGCATTCCATATTTGACAAAAAATAACATATGCCAACTGTAATTAAAAAATAAAAATTTTTTTAAAGAATTCAAAGGCAAAGACCAAACACATGAAGTTAAACAGAAAGTATAGTATGATTTTGAAATCAATTTGCTTGACTTTATAAAATTAAATGGCTGAATTTGGAGCTATTGAGTTTCCAAACTTTAGAGAATTAAAATGGAATATATAACATTAAAAAATACTACAGGTGCCCTAGTCAGTTTGGTTCAGTGGATAGAGCATCAGTCTGGGAATTGAAGGGTCCAGGGTTCGATTCCAGTCAAGGGCACATGTATGGGTTTCAGGCTGGATCCCCAATAGAGCATGCAGGAGGCAGCCGATCTGTGCTTCTCTCTCATCATTGATGTTTCTATCTCTCTCTCCCTCTCCCCTCCTCTCTGAAATCAATAAAAATATATTTTAAAAAATACTATACGTTATATTTGAAATCCATATGTAGTTTTCCTTTTGCATCATAGAAGTTCATTCTATGATTTTAAAAAAGTGGATGACAGTTACTATCACTAGAAAGAAAAGTATTGTCTTATTCTGACAATCAACTATTTACTATTTCTCTTGTCTCCACCTCCATTTCTCTGCTTAATTTAGGAATCTTATTTTTTAGCATTTAGCATTATAAAAACACATTCTGAAAAAAAGCTCTCTACCAGTGAAGTGAAATTTAAAATTAGGGCAATTATCTGAATAATCCAGGCTGAAATTCTACTTTCACCTCAATTATTCAAATAACTCAGAAAATACCAAGATTTTTGCTTGAATTTCCTAGATAATTATACATTTTTCAACTTTACAATGCTGGGTTATTGCCCAATAATATTTACTTTTGATTTTTGTAAGAAATATTGGAACTTTTTTTGAAAACTAAAAATTTCTTTAATTTCCATATATTTATTTGAGTCTCAATTTTTATCCACAAACACTACTTTTAAGATTTTTTTCTGAAGATATCATTTATATTGGTTTTTATTTGCTCCTTTGCTTTATGCTATACAACACTACAAGTTTCCCATCTGATATACATTCTCCCTTTTTCCCTAATTGACAGAACCACAATT